GATTTATGGTTTTCACAGAATTGTTATATGATCACTTCTTGCAGTTTTCTTACTTAAAATTCTAGTGGAGTGAACTTCATTTGGAAAATTAGTACATCACTTAAAATGAATAAAAACTCCAACTTTACCTGTTTTTCTGCGACCAACAAGTCCGATCGTTGGACAAATCTAACGGGCAGATTTTTATGATTTTTGCGGCTACTGATGGAAGATGGTCCCTGAACAATAGCCGCTCCACATGGATTAGACCACAAGGCCCTGTGAAGAGGGCCATATAATGCACGAAGCGCCCTCTCGGGGTTGGGCCGTGTGACGGCCAGGAGGCGTAGCCTCTGATTGTCTGCAGTCCGTCAATCCCGGGACACACTGCATATCGGTAGATTACACAGGACGGGGAAGTTCATGCGACGAGCTGGATAACTAGGTGAGTTTTCGATGCATTTTTCGAAGGAAATACACTATTTCTTTTATCTTATCCCAAAGTGAATCGACAACTTGTCTTAATCCATACATATTTTCATTTTTTCATTCACAGATACGGTAGACTACACAGGACGAGGAAGCTCCTGCGACGAGCCGGATAATAGGTGAGTTTTCAATGTATTTTTCGAAGGAAATGTACTATTTTTTATCCGTATCCCGAAGTGAATCAATAACTTGTCTTAATCCATACATATTTTCAATTTTCATTCGCAGATACGGTAGATTACACCGGACGAGGCAGTTCGTGTGACTCGCCGGATAACTAGGTGAGTTTTCAATGTATTTTTCGAAGAAAATACACTATTTTTTAATCTGATTCAAAATTGAATCAATAACTTGTCTTAATCCATGGATATTTTCATTTTTTCATTCACAGATACCGTAGATTACACTGGACGCGGCAGTTCGTGTGACTCGCCGGATAACTAGGTTAGTTTTCACTGTATTTTTCGAAGGAAATCCACTATTTTTCAATCTGATTCAGAATTGAATCAACATGTCTATTTGTGTCATGAGCGAGTGTCAATTAAATATCAATGGCATTGTGGTTATTCAATCCATAATATAAAAAATCGAGTAAGATTAAACGGAAAAATCCGAAACGTAAGAAGTCAACTCCCCCCCCCCCCNCGCCGCACCGCACAACTGAAGCTGCGTAACGACAACAGAGGGACGCACCCACTTATGTTATGTGCTTTATGGACGATTCCTTTAACAAGACGCGACATTAAAATATTATCAAACAAACAAGAGAAAAACTTCCGGTGCACTGTAAAGGACTCACCGCGGGTATGAATTTCCCATGAGTGCAAAGTGAGAGGAAACTTTATTGGCAGAAGAGAGTCCCGAGTTAAAGTGTTCCCGAGAAGTCGCTGTGAGTGGTATGCCCGGGATTCCCAGCTTTGTCGGGTCACGCACAGGCGGGAGGACCGGATCCGCAAAGGCAAAGGGCGCGCTCGAATATTACGTAACGTAGAGTTTTTCAGTTTTCGTACCGCGGGAGTCCCTTCGCGGCGCTCTCCTTAGGCTACCTTGAACATCCCTTCGATTCACGTAGTCCAGAATAAATCCTTTTGCCAAGTTGATATCCATGATATCACCCGACACAAGGTCCAACCTTAGTAGGTGGTTTTCTTTTACTTTGTTCGCACTTATTTTCAGAAGCCATAAATAATCTTATTAAACTGTAAAAAAATGAGCATAATAAAGTTTTAATATATTGTATTATATTATTATTATTTCGAACAAGGACGGTTGATTTTTTTTTTTTAACCCAACTTTTGGAATCTCGATCGTGACGTATGACTCAGATGTCTAGAACAGTGTCTAGAATAGAATCTGAAATTGAAAATTTAAGTTCAACTAGAGTAGACGATTTGTCTGTGTCTCATGACCTGTATGCATCACCACATTGACGGAAGAATATGTGATATCCTGAGTGGCAATAAGTCACCTCAAACGTGCTATTTGCGTGGCGTTACACCTGTTCAAGTGAATGATATTGCAGAAGTCCTTAAAAGAAGGCCAGACACCCACCATTGATTGAATAATTGAATCCCGCCATAAATTGAATTATTGTTATTATGTCACAGAACTAAAATATATGAATTGATTTGAAGTGCAGAAGAGACCTTTGAGAAATTCCAAGTTTCTTAAGAGTAAGATTTCTCCCCTACATCTTAAAATTGGAACTTTTGATTGCCTATCACACATCGCGTACAATTAAGACTTCAAAGAGTGGCGCCTCAAAACAGGAGAGCAAAAATTTTCGGAAAAACCCGGAAAAAATTGATCCAAAAAAAATTTAGGGGTCACTTAGGATATGGAGTGGACAAAGAGACGTGAACTTGTTCCTCTAGTCAAATATCGCTGCTGTTTTTGCGGCAGATATGAGGATGGAGGTGGGGAGGAATGGGTGTTCTTAATGTGGAAGTGTCTCGATTAATTCATTTTCTCGATCAAAAAAACCAAATGACTTGCGCGTTGAATCTCCACCATGATCATGCTTATCTATGTATCAAATGGATTAAATCAGAGACTTGGCATCCCTTTTTTGCGGTATCATCACTATGAACCAAAGACTGAACGTAAAATTGGATTCCTTGTCCCAAACTGATCCTAAATGCCAAGTTTTGAGAAGATTTGGCGATAAAAATATTCTTCAAATTAGGCGATTGCCCCGTTTTGACGGTTTTTCGTCCCAATTTGCGCACTCTGACCGCTATGATCGGCCCGGTAGTTAAAATATTCATTTTACATGTTATCACGTATTAATCGTGGAAAGCATGGACTTTCAATAAATATATTGATGAATAGTGTACATATTAAATTATTGTAGATGTGTTCGGGCATTTGCAAAAACTCTTGACTAAATAAGTATGAACCTAGTTAAAATATTCATGTGTGATTTTCAATAGTGATAAGCAAGGGTACACCTTCTGACCGCTAGTCGATCCGTTAAGAATCACCAGGACACTTAGACTACTACGGATATTGTATGGATAAAAATATTGAGTAACTGTCCGGGAATTTGCAAGAACACCTTACTTAATTTGGCAATTACTTACGAATAAAATTATATTATTAATTACATACTTATTTATAATAATAATGGCATTTTCGGCAAAATGGCGTGGGAGACTTCCAATTCTGCTAAAACTGTGCAACGTGGTTCTCAAGTTGTATGTAACTTATCCAACAGTACTGCTATGAATTTTTCCCTGAATCTGTTCCGAGATTTTCCTCACTATTGTCAGGAAGTAAATCTACTGTGAATGAATGGAAACTGCCGCGAACACTATAATAAAAGTTCCGCATTCTCAGCGGCATTGCAAGGCTTGAGGTTTTCAACAGACATCTTACTCCTTTTACTTCCTCTCCTATGCAGATTTTCTGTGGATTCAGTGCGAAAGAGCGCAAGAAAAAGTAAAAAGTTCCACTTCTCTTTAACGTGCAAGTAAATGGTGAATTTCCTTTCAACCTCCTTTTTCAGGATTCAGTTTCGATTGACAGCGCCTCCGGTATGGATTTAGATTTATTAGATTTTGACGAATTAGGAGGTCCAAATATTGAAGATGAAGACGCGGCAAATGTCGTTCCGCAGCATGCAGTCGCAGAAGATGCAGATGTGATATCCGAGGTAAAATTCTAGAGGCTAGCTCACGTATTTATGAATACAGGGTGGGCCTGCAAATGTCGTTCCGCAGCATGCAGTCGCAGAAGATGCAGATGTGATATCCGAGGTAAAATTCTAGAGGCTAGCTCACGTATTTATGAATACAGGGTGGGCCTGCAAATGTCGTTCCGCAGCATGCAGTCGCAGAAGATGCAGATGTGATATCCGAGGTAAAATTCTATAGGCTAGCTCACGAATTTATGAATACAGGGTGGGCCTGCCTAAAGTAACTGAAAAGTGACTACATTTTTTTGGAACGAATAGAGATGAAAGGTTCCGGTTTGAACCATTGCTAATGGAGCACTATAGACAAGGTACGAATTTCAGCTTTCTGATACATGTTCCTCGACCAAAATTTCACGTAGAAGACGATTTGCGCAACAAGAATCACCTAAATCAACTCCTTACGAAGATATTTAATGATTCTTGATGCGTGTATTCAAACTACACGCTCATGAAAACTCGATGCTCTGCGTGATTCACATCGTGCGCTAAACATTATCATGACAGTCTCTGCGATATAAATATCTAACAACCTCGATCTTGACGCTTTGGCTCAGCTGTAGCAAATTGCTTATAGTTTGAACAACACATGGTCGGGAAATGAACATGACTCCATTGAGTAGCTTGCTGAAACCGTTGCAGTGCGCGAGTTGACTCACGTAAAGCTTTGAGCTTCTTGTCAGCGGGCAATTCAAATTCCTCGTAACCAATGTGAAATAAAAACGTGAACATCTTCGTTAGGAGTTTGTTTCATTAGTTTTCGTTGCGCGAATCGTGCTCTACGTGCAATTCTGGTTAAGAAACATGTATCAGAATGCTTAAATTCGTACCTTGTCTAGTGGTCCATTAAGAGGATAGCTACACTGGAAAAAAAAGAATCTTAAATTTGCCGCCAAGAAGTATTACTTCTTGAATCAAGAATTTTTCTGGTTAATGTAAGCTACTTTCTTATTTAACCCAAGCATTATTTTTCTTGAATCAAGAAAAAGTCAGCTTAAGGCAAGAAAAAACAAATTCTTGGCGGCAAATTCAAGAATCATTATGCTTGATCCAAGCTACTTTTTTTTCTCAGTGTAGAACATTCATGTGCGTTATCGATACTGATAAGCGAGGGTACGCCCCCTGACCGCTAGCCGGCCCGTTAAGAATCACCGTGACACTAAGACGACTACGACCTCCTCCGAGGTTGCGTCACCGGTGAAGCTCCAAGCTCAAGGCTCCACGCCGGTCCGGAGAGCGGCATTGCCGGAATGCGCGGAGAATCGCGGGGCGAAGCGACGAAAGCGCGGCAACCGGTTTCGCGGTCCGCGAAGCTATAACTAGGCGCGTAAGCGGCACGGACTCCTTCAAAGCTCGATCGCCGACGTCTGGGAGTCTGTCGCTGGACAAAGCTCGGAATCGCCGCCGTGGGAAAAAACGAAACCGAAAGTGAACGGGAAAGAATCGTATGGGAATCGCGAAATTCGGCGAGGTATCATCGCGGGGAAGTTCGCGTGTCCTTTATTTTCGAGCAACCAGTTCGGAGTCGTCAACAAAGTGTTCGCCTTGCGCTTTTTGGAAAGCTCGAAGTGTTTCGGCCGTGTTTTGAAAAAATTTCCGGTCGAGCTTTCAGACGCGCTCGACGTGGCCGTTTCCCCGGAAAATTCGCGGACGGAAAACCTTGCGGGCTCGCGGTTCGAAGTGGAGTGCTGCGGATTTCTCACGAGTGTGGTCAATGCCGTAAGGCGTGCGGTCGAAAGCGCTGCTTTTTTTCGGTTCGTCCGATTTTAACGTTCTCGTTTTGGGATTTCTTCTTTTTCTCGTTCGGGGTGAAGTGAAAGTGAATAGTTTTCAAGATGACGGAAGTTGCGAAGTATAAGGATGAGCTTTTGACAGGTATGTTTAACGAAAAATATTATTTGCTCGTCCGGATGAACTAAGAATTGGCGGATTAAACCACGTCATTCACTTCTATCCATCAAATTTTAACAGTTCCAGCTAGTATTATACTCAAGTATCTGAAATTACTAGAAGTATGTATGTACGACGAAAATAGAAATGCACAGCGCTGTTATGAGACTAGAAAAAGTAAAGTAAGTAAACTAATAAGTAGCGCATACCTAGGCGAAGCACATATCAATTTCACGAAAAGCTACCAAACCACATAAAACAACTTTTATTAGGGATATCTATTATTAGAAAAAAGACAAAACTATCATTAAATGAAAAATATCCATACTCAACACATGACTTTACAGAGCTAGAGTAATCATTCGCTGTATATAAACTGTGCATTGTCGTATATTACCTGTGTATTGTCGTATATTACCTGTATATTATATTTGCTGTGCATATGAGTGAAAGAAAAATTATTATCATTGCTGTGTAAAATCACACAATCTACATTAGAGGTTACGTGATTCATTGCTTTATCAAAGATGCAGAACAATTTCAAACCAAAGATGCAGAACTGACACAAACTATACCTCATTTTTTAAAAGGAAATAACTGCTCTGTTTATTTCTAAAATGTGTCGGAGTTTTGGGGGTAACCTGACAAAGGAGAAGAGCTTTACATGCAGTCTTCTAATAACAACACGATTCGCTGGAGAAAATTTTACAACGTTGAAAAGTGTGAGGAACAAAAAATTTTATCTCATTCTTCAATTTTCCGTCTTCGGTAAACTGGCCGAAAAGATCATAGCAAGGAAAATAAGAAAATGGATGGGGGTAAAGGGAGCCGTAAGCGAGAGACAATATGGATTCATGCCAGGGAGGGGTACCACGGACGCTTTGAATAAACTAAAGAAAATAGTAAAGACGTCAGGCAAGACGTACGTGGCGGGGATCTTTGTTGATGTTAAGGGGGCATTCGATAACGCGTGGCCACCTTTAAGGTTTTAGAGGAATTTGAGTGCCCGGGGAATATCTAAAAACTCTTAAGGGACTATTTAGATGGGAGAAAAATTAAGGTAGGGAAGGTAATGGAGAGATTCATGTGGCTGGTCGCAAAGGGTTGCCCACAGGGCAGCGTTTTGGGACCAGTCATATGGCTGATCCTGTTACATGATGGGCTTAGAAGGGAATTTGGGGATAACGTGCACATACCAGAATATGCAGACGATATAGTAATTCTCGTGGAAGAAAATGCAAGAAGAAATGGCAAAATGCCTTGTTTCTGACTTCAGATCGTATGATTGTTTATTCTCTACTGACGATAGGTAACTTTACGGAAGACGTTATATTCGTAAAAATTTGCTCTTTCATTTCATTTCATTTTTTTTTTTTAAATTTTACATGGATAAAATAACGCGACATGAAGTGTATATAAGCATATTTTGAGGTAGAGATAGGGGCTTCGTGTACGTGTTCTGCCTCACGGATGTTCTTTACCGCGCTATAAACTTCCGTCTTAGATCCTCGCTACCTTCGTAGTGTGAATGTTTTGTATGTATCTAAATTCACTTCCTCCCTCCATCACCTCTTGTGTCTAAAAACAATATATGGTAATTTCGTAATATTCATAACAAAAACATCAAAATTCCTTTTCCAAAATTCATCCGTATTATACTCGTAACCGGTTACGACTGCCTTCGGTCCGGTTGCCGCGAATGACTTTCCGGCTGATCTTTTGAGAAGACAACACGACTAAATTCTTTCATTGGTTAAGCAGTCCGAGTCTAATAGTTCCAATTGGCTGATTTTTAACCATGATGAGTCTAAATTTATCATACATTGTCTCATTTTCTGATATATTTTATTAAATTATTGCAATGGAAACAAGCATATTCTGACTCGAAATTTTAGGATTCTACACGAGCTACAGAACATTTACACTGAGCTTCATGACAATGTGCTCATTCAATTTATATGAGAAAGAACATGACAAAACAGTCGGCAAACGCAACTTTTTAAATGCGTGCAATCCAGTTTTGATAGTTGTTACTACCAACGGAGTAGCCATGGGATCCAGGTGCATGAATATCAAACGTTTGAATTTTGATCAGGCAAGAAATACTGTTTGAGGATTAACAGGAAATCCTAATCTGATGTAGACCACAAATGAGAGGAACAAGCAAACAAAAAATGGGAAATTGAAAAATACAATATTCAATCAGGCAAACTGATGTGAATAAACTGAGAGGTGTAGCTATACTCGATTACGCGGGATACCGAGAAAGTCTTTCCGGATTAAAGCTTGTTTTTTCAACTTCATTCAGCACGCAATCAATACTAGTAATCTTGTACTTTAGCTCTCTCGTGATGACTGAAGTATCGACAAGGAAAATATTACAAGAAGTAAGGTGAAGAAGCGTCGGTAGATTCCACCATTGTAAAACCTATCAGCCAAAAAATTCAGCAATAAATCAACAGTTAGAAAATATTAAGGTAATTAGTCGATGCTGACAGAAATATAAAATTACTTACGTTTGGGCCACGTTTAACACAAAGGTACCGAGCCACACCAGCTATTGTCATATTTAATTGGGCAACTCAATTGTTATTTGGGAATGGTTGTGTGGATTTTTGTGTGGCGTTCAGTGAATTTTCTGCATAGTGCGAAGCTGATTCCTAAACATTTTCAACAAAAAATCCGCACAAATGTTGTCTTGTAAAAAATGAAATGACCCAGTTTTATTTGGCAATAGCTGATGTGGTTCCTTTCTGTTGAAGGCCAAGGCTGCGGTCCATTTGACATGCTGTCCAAGCATATCAAAATCTACTGAATTTGTTCGAACAGCGATTGGTCGACACTAGAAGGCAATTAAAATCGATGCTCAATAATTAGATCGTATTTTCACCATTTCACGGGTCCTCCTTACGGTTAAACAAGATTTGATACAATTTTTCTCTCCTTAACGACAAAAACGTATGTTTGTCACACAGTATACGAACAAATCTCGAATTTCCACAAATTTTTAATGACTCGACTTTAAAAGGCTTGAGAGTTTTCCAGCGACCAAATAGGTAGTTTACCATTAAAATATCCTTCGAAAAAACGAAGACTCAAGGATACAAATTTCCACTGGACGGTTAATTTTCCCGTGTAACGATGGCTCGAAGCTACGGCTCCAGCTCCCGGAAGTTTCGGCATCTGAGCCCGGAACGGATAGTATGTCTATATAGCCTTACGGCATTCATAACTGTACTCAAACATACATTTTTCATCGAGTGAGGAAAGAGTTTGTAGAGTTCGGCAACATTTGAATGATTATACAGGGTGTCTATTTTTTTTTTCATTTTGGAAAGTCCTGATGAAATCCTGATTTTTCGTGAAATCGTGATCTCAACATTTTTCCAAATCCTGATTTTTTGCGGCGAAAAATTAGGCGAATGTGACTCACAAAAATAGCTTGATAAAAAATCAGATCAGACGTCCAATTTTTCTCAAATTCTGATTTTACGACCGATTTTTCCTCACATTAATTAAAGATCAATTTGAGAATTTCTGCTCTTGTTGAGATAAGTTTGATTATGGTTTTTGTTTGTTTAAATACTATTCCCTTTTCTGTTGCTTTTATCATGGTAATCGTTTGGTTTATGAATATAATTTTTCCAAGTAAATTTAAATTTTTTATAAATCACATACATCTTATCATCTGTTTAATTTTGGTGTTGGTTTTATTTATTCTAAATTTGCCATTAGTTTCAATCATGTAGTTATTTTAATTAAAATTAGAACTACTGGAACTAGCTTTTCGGTAATTGATAAGATATCATTTGATAAGATATTGATAAATTATATCCTGATTGACCTTAAATCCTCCTCGGACATCTACCACCCGCACCCGCTGAAAGAAGAAAACGGTTGTTCAAAAAAGAGCCGAAAAAGCGCAGGCTCTTCTTAGGGTATGCACGTACCTGGATCCTCACTAAAGAGGTCGACTACCAGAGACGGAAGTAGAAAAGGCGCGGATCAATATCTTAGGTAAAATTTCATCTTTCGATTGCATGAAATTTTTTTGGCGCTATTAAACTCCTCACATTCCAACAACTGGGCACAATAGATCGAGAGGTCGCAGTGCATGGGGCAACCCACCAGAAAAAGGAAAAAAAAAAAAAAAAAACTCCTCACATTACGACCGATTTTTCCTCAAATCCTGATGAAATCGGGATTAAATCCTGATTGACCTCAAATACTCCCCGGATATCTACCACCCGCACCCGCTGAAAGAAGAAAACGGTTGTTCAAAAAAGAGCCGAAAAAGCGCAGGCTCTCCTTAGGGTATTTACGTACCTGGATCCTAACTATAAAGGTCGACTATATACCAGAGACGGAAGGAGAAAAGGCGCGGATCAATATCTTAGGTAAAATTTCATCTTTCGATTACATGAATTTTTTTTTGGCGCCATTAAACTCTTCGCATTACCGTGGAAGCCAATTGCGTTGGGAAAATCCTGATGCTAGACACCCTGTTATACAGCGTTTTTCAGCACATTGGAAGAGGTGCTGCCGAATAAAAGCATCACATATCTGGACAGATTTTCCCTCATTGACGTCAGAACACACGTTTACTTTCTCCGAGTGAAAACTTTCGGAAATATAGGACAAATCAGCGCTGCTAAGCTCTGACGAGCCGCGGTCGGGACCTTGAACGGATTTCCAACTTCAGAGCTTTGCTTTCAGCGACCGTGGCCGAGAATGTTTTATAAACAAAGTGCGACGCGAAGTGCGACTTGCGATGAAGCGCCGGCAATTTTTGGAGAAGATCGAAACCGCGATTGCCCGGTTTAATCGTCCGTCAACAAAACCAGCGATTTACGGTCATGGAAATGAAAACGAGTTCCCTCGCGCGCGCCAACGCGACTCGCGGAAAATCACCGCGGCGACCAACGCGATGTAACCGCGATGCGTAACTGCATTTGGCAACATCGAAGTTGAAGGTGAAGTCTTAA